GTCTGACAATTCATTAAAGGTCCATTTTTTTCCATTCAGGATTATGCTTAGCTTTGCTGGGTCCCATATTTTTGGCTGGAACTCCAGTTCTTTTGCTCTTCAATACATAGCAGGACTGCACAACATATAGCCCACCAAAGGATTTCAGGCAGCCTGAAAAAAATGTACTTAGAGGATGTAAAACAGGCCTACACAAAATATGGCCCATGAACATGATAGATAGATAGAGATATATGCACGTATGTGTGTATTTATGTATGTATGTATATACATGCATACATACACAAACATAAATACACACATACATAGATACATATATACTGATATATAGTGTTTTAAGACCTGACCTGCAGTCTTTTAGTATCAATGCTGCTAGGTCTCATGTGATTCTAATTGAGGCACCACCATATTTAAATAGTTTTTTCCTTGTTGCTCATGATATTTTACCCCTGAGTTGGGGTTTCAGAATTTGACTATGATATTCTTGTGGGTTTCCCTTTGAAGGGGATCCCTTTGAAGTGGTGATCAGTGGATTTTTTTTTCAATTTCTGCTTTCTTATTCTAATGCTTCAGGACAATTTTCTTTGGTTATTTCTAAAAAAAATAAGCTATTTCTTGTATTATGGAATCGATTCTTTTTTTGGATCATAGCTTTCACATAGTCCAAGTATTCTTATGTTTTCTCTTCTTGATCTGTTCCCCAGATCAGTTGTTTTTCTTAATAAGATGTTTCACAATCTCTTCTATTTTTTAATTTCTTATATTTCATTATTTCTTGATCTGTTAGCCAACTGTGTTGGCTTCCCATGCCCAGTTCTGATTTTCAAGGAATCATTTTCTTCCTTAAGATTCCAGATCAAAAAAATAAAAATAAAAAGATTCTGGATCTCCTTTTCTAATTGGTTGACTTTCTTTTCATAATCTTCTTATTTTTCTTGGATTGTTACTACTTTTTTTAAGTTTTTCCTCAATCTATCTCATTTGATTTCTAAAGGTTTTTAAAGTTCCTCTATGAATTCTTTGTGGGCAGGTGGACATTTGACATCACTCTTTGGGAGTAGAAGAGGGTTTCTTTGCCTCACTATCCTTCTATGAAGATGAATCCTGGTCTTCTTTATTCCCATAGTAACTCTCCATGGTTAGAATCTTTCTCCTTTGCCTGTTCATTTTCTTTCTTTCTTTCTTTTTTTTTGGTAGCAGCTTAGTTTTTGTAATTGCCTCTAGTCTTGGGGTATGAGAGACAGTGCCTCTTGCCCCAGATCTTCAGTTCTCCCCTCTGGCCTGAAACTGAAACCAAGAGCTCCAAGCTTGTGTAAGTGCCCACAAACAGCAGCATCCCCCCCATTGCTTCTGCACTCAGCAGGCATGTGTTGGTTCCTTCTTGCCCCTGGCTGCTTCTCTGTAGCACGGCTAGTCTGGCATTCCTTGTCGGCAGAGATTCCCTCAATTTTCCCCAACTCAGACCCCCAACTCCCCTCATTGTCCTGGGGGTCAAAGTTCCTGTGACTGGGACCAAAACAGCCTCCCAATCCAGCTAACCCCAGGGCTCACTGCTTGTTGTTTAAGTGGACATACAGCAGAAAGTGCAAGTGTTTACTCTTCAAAGGTGCCAAATCTCATCCTGGAATTTTTCTCCAGATCTTCTCAGATTGGCTCAGGAGGACAACTGTTCTTCCCCTACTCTCATTTATTTTTACTGCTCTATGTTCTCCCTGAGGTGTTATTATTATCTTGTTTGTGGGAAAAATCTTGACAGCTTGGAATTTTCTGACCTACTCCACCATCTTTGCAGAATCCTCCATGTGTTTTTTTTAGTAGCATGACCAATATCGATAAAGGCTTTGCATGACTGCACTCGTATTACCTATATCAAATCGTTTGCCATCCCCAGAAGAAGGGAGGAAAAGGAGGAAAGGGGAGAATTTGGAACTCATGTTGTTTTTTTTAAATGTTAAAAAAATGACATGAAATCGGAAAAAATAATGTTCATTAATAAAATAAATGTGGAGATGACAGATCGCTGACCAGGGTGGAAGTACAATCTCTCTTTATTCCCAGACCTTGCCTCTTTTAATTCTTTCCTATTTATCCTATATGTAGCTTGTTTGTACATTTCTTTTTTTTTTTTTGCTCGTCAATTCTCTCATTAGATTGTGAGCTCCTTGAGGGCAGGGACTGTCTTTTGCTTTTTTTGGTATCTCTGGTCTTTAGCACTGTCATAGGCACCTCAAAAATGTTTATTGACTAACTGACAACCAAGAAAGAATTACAAGGGATGAAGAAGGAGGAAGTGGCCGAGGACTATCCACCCAACTGGACGCCATAATGAGTAGCTAAAATGAAGAAGACCAGCAGGTGAGAGCCTCATAATTTCACAGCAGGCAAAACCCAAGGAAGGAGCCAGTAGTAAAATCCATGGCTTTGAAGGTTAATACACAAATGTCCAAAGTTTCGAAAATGAGACAAAGGAATCAGAGGTCATGATGTAAGAAGGCAAACCCAGCCTGGTAAGTAAGTGCAGGGCAGTTGGTCTTTGAAAGACCAGGACCTAATGATATCAAAGGGGACAAGGAGAAGGTCTTAAACTGACTGGAGATTCAGCCACTCCTTTCTGAGGTGCAGCCATGTTCATTGACTGAATGAGAAGTTCCAGAGTCAGTGAGTTCCAGTGAGACCAGGCAGAAACCATTGGCCCTAAGGGCATCTCAGAGAGGGAGACCCAGGCTGAGACAAGTCCCAGGGAAAGGAGAGCTCTTTCCACAACTGCACCTCAAGACGCCTGTCTTTCCACATACATCATAACATGGCCAAAGTCATAGAACATAGAAAATCAGTTCAGCAAAGTGGACAAAATGATCATGTCTGAAGCTCTATGCAATATTCTGACCCCAAAGTTAGCCCTGCCCCCTATATCTCTATAGAAATCATGGAACTGGGATCTAGTTGGTTGGGAGCAAAGTTAGCCTTTGGAATTCACCTGCGTTTCACAGCCTTCCAGGGTTATTTTCTTTTATATTAGTGTCCTCATTTTATGTATTGTTGACATAGTCCTGATTATTTCATTGTTCATTTGGATAATACAAATTTTCCCATTTTCTCTGATTTCTTCACATTTTATTATTTCTTACATAGCCCAAATGCCCTGCACAGACCCACTCTCCCATAGAAACATTACAGTGGTGGCTAGATTGAGGCCAAGTGTTTGCACCTAGGGACCCATGCATTTCGCAAAGCTGGCTTTTGATCTTGAAGGAACTTTTTTCCAGGAAAGGTCAGCCATAGCAGGCAGGCAGTGAAGCCCAGCACAGAGATGGGGACATGACAACATCCTGCCCCATGATCTTCCTGCCATAGAGTATGTGAGGTGGGTGTGCAGCCGCCTTGCTGATGAGAATGGAGAGCAAGTGAAAAGCATGGGCCAGGATCTGAAGTGAGGAGCTGACCACAAATCAGAATGAGAAAACCATGAGTGGACATGCACAGGGGAATGATGATGAAGATGATGATGATGTTGATGATAGGTATCATTTCCATAGTGCTTTAAGATTTGTGAAGCACTTTGCAAAAATCAAAATCTCATTTGATCTTTATAACAACCTTCAGAATAGATGCTATTTTTATCCCCATTTTAGAGATGAGAAAACTGAAGCAGACATAGGTTAAGTGATTTGCCAAGGTCACACAGCTAAGAAGCAACTGAGCCTTCCTTGTGAACTCAGATCTTCTTGACTCCATATCCAGTGTTCTATCCATTGAATCACTTAGATTCTGCACAAAGTTCAGAGAGACAGAGAGAGAGAGAAAGCTTGGGTATTTTTCACACAAAGAGAGAAGGATGTGGGAGAAAGCAAAGCAGACTGTGAAAGGGAGAACAGACAGAGAAGAGGAAAACAAGGACTGAGCTATGTCAGGAAAGCCTTGGTGGGAGAGAGTATTCAGGAGGAGGGCATGGTCAACATGCTTCAGAGAGGTCAAGGAAGATGAAGACTGAGAAGGTCCAAGAGGCAGCTAGGTGTCTCAGTGGATAGAGCACCAGCCCTTAAGTCAGGAGGACCTGAGTTCAAATCCAGCCTCAGACCAAACACTTGACACTTACTAGCTGTGTGACCCTGGGCAAGTCACTTCATCCCAAATGCCTAAAAAAAAAATACTGACAAGGTCCATGAAGAAATCATTGGTAATCTTGGTGGTTAAAATGGCCTTCTATTTGACCTTAACCACAGCCTGGTGAGGCAAATGCAATAGGTATTCTCATCCCCATTTTAGAAAAGAAGAAACTGAGTCTCAAAGTATTCAGCTGCCTTAGTCTTGATAATGTTCAGAGGGAGAATTAAAACACATTCTACCCTGATCTCCTGCTCAGCCATCTTGCCACCACATTGCCTGTAACTGCCCTAGGACCTGAAACACTATGAATAAGTCAGAGTTTCCTGTAGTGCATTCCACTGGCTCTCAACTAACTCAGCCATGTCAAAGCTACCCATCTTTAAGCTGAAGTTGATATTCAACCAATGCATTCTGTATATTCATCTTTGTCATACTTAATCCAGAAAACTGGCACTGCTCTCTCTCTGGTTTGCGGTAAAAACATTTCTTTCCTGGAAGTATCTGGAGCTCTGTTTACAGGTCTCCCTCTTATTACCTTGGACTCCATATGCAGGTTGGAGCTCTACTAGGGATCTTCTGGGCATAGATGCTCCCATAGAATGGGTATTTAAGTGCTCAAGCTTGGTGCTGATGTGTCTTTCCATCTAGGTACTAAATCTGTGCCAGTTTTTCTTCATGAATGATCTGAAGTATTTTGGCATCCTCAACTGCACACAGACCTGAGAACACTGCCTACCTACATCACTCCATCAAAGTGAGAAGGAAGGTTCTGGGGAAGGGGTCCTCACTGATCTAAAAATACATCCTGTGTTTTGTTGCAGTCAAATGACTACTTTCTTCACTCAGTAGCTCTCTGAAGAAATTCCCTTCTTGGGGCAGGCATCCCACTCCAGATGGCCTTTGAGGATTTCCTACCTGAAGTTGGAGAGAAGGGAAGATCCCAGATCCTTTGGGTCTTTTCTTTTGCTATCCCTATAATATTTATAAGTAGCCATTTTCTGCTAGAGAACTTCACTGCCTTTGTCCCTGAGCACTGGTGCTGGGTTCACTTCCTTGACAATACCTCGGCTTTGCTCAATGTCAGTGGGAACCTTAATTTTAGTTCCCTCCTAAAGCTTTCCATCCCCCTGGATTCCAATGGGAAACCAGAGAGGTGTCACCAATTCTTCTGGCCACAGTGGCAGCCCTTGGGGCCAAATGTCACAGGTCAAAACATGAGCCAGCTAGAGATGGAGCCTTGTGTGGATGGCTGGGTTTATGACCAAGGCATCTTCACTTCTTCCATTGTGACTGAGGTAAGAGGTTCTTCTGCTGCCCCTTTCCTATCCCAGGAAGATTTCATTTTCCTTTTTAAAAGGTAACACTGATTTGGGACTTGATTCCCTTGGCAAACAGCAGAATCACATTCCTCTCTTCTGCCACCCGTCCAGCTCACAGCTCCCTTTGTGATAAAAAGTAGTGAAGGATCCCTTGATTAGGTCCTGCTGCCAAACACCAAATACACAATGTAAAGAGCATTATTCTGCAGATTTTTTTTTTTATGCTGAAAGCACAGACTCTTCTTCATGGGGGAAAAAGTTATTGAGCTCAGAGCTTCAGCAGCCTGATATACAATATGAAATACATAAGCACTATGGGTACAATGGAATTTCACAGAAAGCAGGAGGGGAGGTTATGGGTATGCACAAAAAAATCAGAAAATAAAGATGTTTGCATCAAGAAGGTCGGGGTCAAAATGAACTTAAAATTGTTGTCCCAAGCTTGACTGTATGATGTACAGCTGTGTACAGGAGGCAGTGTCCCTTACTCATCATGGTGGGGCAAGAAATTTTTTTCCCATCACACTTTTTCTTCTTCATAATGGCAGCAAGATTCCTGAGCCCCAAATTCTCTTTCCTCACTTTAAGATCTGATGCTCTCATCCTGTCTTTCAGTGGGACCTGGTGTGTGACTCCCAGACACTAAAGTACTTGTCACAGTCAATCTTGCTTGCTGGGAATCTGGTTGAATATCTAATATGGGGCTATCTCTCAGACAGGTGAGTTTTACCTGGACACAGATGTTTCTGAAACCCAGGGAGCCTAGGGCTATATAGCTTAAAATTGGAAGATGACACTATAGATCATTTAGTCCAATTCACTCATTTGACCAAGGAGGAACCCAAGCCCCATGGAAATACAGAGACTTGCCCAAGGTCACGTAGCTAGAGTCTAAAGCAGATTTCAAACCACAGTCTCTCTGCTTTTAAGTCTAGCATTATTTCTACACAATACTAATTGCCCAAAATAACAGGGAGAAGAATCAGGGCTAGATCTGTAGCCATGGGTTGAGGAGGGTCTAATGCTGAAACAGGACACAGTAAAATAGGCAGGTTGGTGATAGGTTGAACTTGGGACAAAAGTCAGCTAGTCGATAGTCAATCTAGCATTTCTTAAACTCTTAGTATGTGCCAGAAACCGTGCTAAGAGCTGAGGATAGAAAGAAAAACTGAAACAGTCCCAGCCCTCAAGAAGCACCTCTTTTTGAGGTGACAAAGAATGTAAACTGATGGGAAAATCTTGGGATCATTCAAAGAACTTTGTGTTTCAAACAAGCATTTGTTAAGTGTCTACTATGTGGAGTACATGCACTAGACATTGTGTGACAATACTATCTGTGACTTTTCATTCAGAGGGCATGATCTCTTCTTTCATATAAACTTGTAAGGAGAGGGATTGGTTCAATGGTCAGTCAGTCACCCTGCCCCACCTACAGATGCTCTATGGACCAATAAGATGCTTTATGGCCTGACATCTTCATCAAGTGAGAACACCTTTGAGGGATCAATCCATCAAAGGTGCAGCCTGGATGTGACAAGGTTCAGAATCAATGTGGAAGGAGGGAAAGCCATTGCATGAAATGAGATCATGCTGCAGAGACAGCTGCCTGGCTACAGTGGATAGAGTGCTGGGCCTGGAGTCAAGCAAATCTGGATTCAAATTCTGCCTTAGATGTGTGAACTTGGGCAAGTCACTTGAATTTTGTCTGCATCGTTTTACCCAATTGTAAAATAGGGATAATTCTAGTACCTACCCCACAACATTATTGTAAGGACCAAGTGAAATAATATTTGTAAAGCTCTTAGCACAACACCTGTATGTAGTAGGTGCTTAACAAATGTTTGGTCCCTTCCCCTTCTTCCCCTTCACATCACCTCCATCTTCAAGCTCTCCAGAGTCAGCCTTCTGCCATGTTATGGGTACAATAAACAGATTAACTGTCACTCAAGGCTTTTTTTTTTTTTGGCACATCGTATATTGTGATGTCTTGCACCTATGAGATGGGTCAGCTGGCCATTCCTGGTGGCTATTACACATGGCCTTCAAGAACCAAGGATATTGTTAAGAAGGAGGATCTGGATGTAGATACTGTATCTGACCCTCCCTTGGGGGGACCTTGAAGTCACTTAACTCCCTGGACCTCAGTTTACTCTTCTGTAAAATGAGGAAGTTGGACTAGAAGGCCCCTAAGGTCCCTTCCAACCCAAATCCATGATGTATGACCTCTACATTGGCAAGTTTGTTGGAGAACTCTTCACTTAGTAGGAGCTAAATGATAATTTGTTGTGTAATTTAACTGAAGTTGACTGGACTGAAAGCTCAGCTAAGCCCAATGACTACTGGCATCTGTACCCTGGGTCCTGGCAAAGGAAGGCACATAGGGAAAAGGTGAAGGATGAGGCCTGAAGTCTAGATGGTTGCCAGGGCTGTGCTTGGTGGGGAAATGATTTTATGCCTCAGTCCTGAGGTCACACCCATCTGTTTTCCCATGATGTGGGTTTGGGTGAAAAAGGATGCTGCTTCCAAGTTACCTCATGATGGCTGTCTCCAGCACCGGAAATACCTTTGTCCAGTCATTCCCAGTTTACTGTTGTTTTCTCTTCCTGTTTGGGTCTTCAATACCAGGAGTCACACTTGGAAGTTTGACCCTCAGTAAGTCTTCATTGTGGGACTTCTTCAACATTTACATTTGTTCTTTGAGATTCCACATTTGTCTGAAATTAATTCTGTGCTGTGGTTTCCTTTCAGTCCAGGAATGGACCAACAGCCAGCACCGGCCCCTGGTAACAGTCATTTTCACTCTGTACTTTAGCCTGGGCCATCTGTTTCTTCGGCTTGTGGCTTATGGCATCCAGGAGTGGCGCGAACTCCAGCTGGTAATGTCAGTTCCCTTCTTTGCCTTCTTCCTGGCCTCTTGGTAAGTGCCCCAGGACTCTTGTTCTCTCTCTGAGAGACTGCAGATGGAGGGTGAAGAATCCCAAGCTTCTTTATATAAAAAGCTCAGTTCAGGATGTTTCAAGTCTAGTAAGAAGATGCGAATGTTTCCCATCAGGGGCTTGGGTGCCAGTCAGGAGTTAAAATCCATGTGTGGATGAGATAGCCTTGAAAGCAGATATCTTCTTCAAATTATCTCTAGGTTATAAGACATAGCAAAAATAAAATGAAAGTTATTCATTTTGAGCAGACTTTTCCTAAAAAGAATATCCCAGCACAGCAGAGATGAGATAGAAAGTTCACTAAATTTCAAGGAAGAAGTCATGAGTTCAAATCTTACCTTTGCCCCTTGTTAGGTGAGTGATCTTGCTCAAATCACTTACCCATCCCTCTGCAAAATGACCGGGTCACACTAAGTGACCTTTAGGATTCCTTCTAGTTCTAAAGCTATAATGGCAAGTTAAGATGGTGTAGGAGTTTCCTTCTAAGTCTCAGTCTATGATCCTATGACCCCTGCAATGGAAATGAATAGGTAAATACCCTCTCTGTTTCCTAGGCAACTAGAGACTGTAGACTCTAGGAGGCTGGGTTTGGGGTCAGGAATATTTCACTTCTTATCCTGCCTCAGATATTTGCTAGCTGTGAGACCCTGAGGAGGTCATTGAACCTCTCTGGGTTTCAGTTTTCTCACCTGCAAAATGGGTTGAGTAGTAATATCTCCCTCCCTGGGTTGTTGTGAGGATCAATTATAATTAAACTCATGGTAATCTCCATAAGGCACATTTCAAGAAAATTAAGAATGAGTTCGAGTGCAAGAAGTCAATATCTATTTTATATAACTTTTTTCATATTGAGTCCTTCAGAGTTCTCTTGGATCATTGTATTGCTGTGAGTAGCTAAGTCCTTCACAGTTGATCATCTTACAATATTGTTGTTATTTTGTACACAGTACATTTCACTTTGCATCAGGTCATGTAAGTCTTTCCAGGTTTTTCTGAGAGCAGCCTGCTCATTATTTCCTATAGGACAATATCACAATCACATAGCATAGTTTGTTCAGCCATTCCCCGGTTGATGGGCATCTCCTCAATTTCCAACTCCTTGCCACCAAAAAAGAGCTGCTTTAAATATTTCTATACAGATAGGTCCTTTCCCCATTTGTTTTTTATCTTTTTGGATACAGACCTATTAGTGGTACTGTTAAGTCAAAGGGCATGCATGGTTTTATAGCTCTTTGGGCATAGTGAGGAGGACCTTTCTAACCAGTCATCTGGAGGATTTCCCATCTCCCCATCAGCACCCTTCCAGTGTCCCTGGAACAGCTTGCTGGCAGTTAAGTCATGGGGATCAGAAGACTGCATGCAGATTCATAGCCCTCAAAGATCCCAGAAGGAAATTACACTCAGCCTAAGGAGATCTTAAGCAGCCCATGAAGAGGAGAACCTTTAGTTTCTCCTTTGCTACATATGCTCTCCATGCTGGAGCCCATTTCTCCCTGGACTGCCATGTACTTGTGGGAAAGGGTATCCCATTCTCAGACAACAGATTGATGGGCTTTCAATACATATCAAAGTGTCCTGGTTTTTTTTGAAACTTTATTTTTCTTGGGGGTTTTCTTTTGATCTGTGTTTTTCTTTTACAATATGACTAATATGGAAATATGATTTGCATGACTGCACATGGATAACCCATAACAAATCACTTGCCTTCTCAATGAGGTGTGATGGTAGAGAGGGAGAGAATTTACAGCTATTAAAGAAACACATGTTAAAATTTGTTCTTTACATTTACTTGAGGAAAAAATAAAATATAAAACAAAAAAGTATAGTAAAAACAACAATCAAAAATGAAAAAGAAACCACTGCTGTTCCTGCTCTCCCCTAAGGGTCTTGCCATGGTACTAGAAACAGCTGAGCCCCAGTCATTAAGAAAGATGTTCTCTCCCAGTTACCTTGTTTCTCTTTGTCTAGATGTTGTGTTACTGATTTGTGCACATTTCCTATCCCTGTGGTAGAATGTAAGCTCTTTGTAGGCAGGGGCTGTTTCATTTTCATCTTTGCATCCTCAGCACTAGTACAAAACCTAGCACATATTATGAACTTAAGAAAAATCTTCTTGACCTGAATTTGAATCAGCCCCTCTCATTGTTTTATCCTGGAAAGTAAAATGTGTAAGGAGCTCTAAACCATTTTTCTTTTGGGGGGGGTTAGGTGGGAGGAAGAAGAAATAATGAATTCTAGATTCAGGGAAGCCTTGAAATTTAACTTCTCTTCTAATGTAGATTATGAATGTTGGGAGACCTACATAGCACAGGCCATGTGATCACACATGTTTTAACAACACTCTCACCTCTGTCATACCATGTTTTAATGTCCTATCTGATCATGTTTAACCCAGAGAAATGATGCCCATCCATGGGGGGTTTCAAGCAGAGCTTGGACAATTCTACGTTGACAATGTTGGAGAAAGGATTCCTCCTCAGGTACAGTTTGAACTGAGTCACCATTGAGGCCCTTTTCTACTCTGAAAGGCTATGCTTTGTATCTCCACTGCTAAGCACAATACTTGGTAAAGAGTAAGTGCTTAATAAATGCTTGTTGACTAACTAGCCAAATCTATGAACAGAGGTCTAGGCATCAAGATCCCTTGGTTGTTAAAGGAAGCTCCCCCTAAGACAGAATCTCAGACCTGGAAAGAACCCCAGGGGCAATTGAGGGCAATCCAAACCTAAAGAAGCATCCCTTGTACAACATTCCCACCAGGAAAATTGCCTGTTCACATCCTTTTACCATTCATCCATTGGGGAATAGCTCTTGTTCTTCTATTTATATCAATTGCATATATACCATGGATAACAGAGGAATGATAACAAACACATGGATCTGGATAACAGAGATACTTGCTATGAAGGTTGTTTTCCTTATCTGCAGCAGTTTGTTTTATTGAAATTGCATTGGCTTTGTGCAAAAGCTTTTAAATTATATGTAATAAAAACATCTATATTTTTTAATGATTCCCTCTAGCCCTTGTTTAGTTTAAATCTTCTCTCTCTCTCTCTCTCTCTCTCTCTCTCTCTCTCTCTCTCTCTCTCCCATTAGTACAGTGTCTGGCACATAGTATGCATATAATAAATGCTTATCAATTCATTGAAGATAAAGTTAAAAGAATTACTCCCCCAAAAGGCCTCTCCACCACATTTCTGTCTTCTCCAGCTTCTTTCCAACTATGATGGGAGAATAGTCTCTTCAATTTCTCTCAAACCCTCCCACTTAATAGTCTTTCTCTAGACTCACTCCTTATCAAATTATCTTTAGAGTGCTTCTTCATAAAATAACTGTTGAACCCAAGTTCAACAAGAAAGTAATTTCTCCAAATTTTGTTTCTGCCTCCTCCATAGTTTATCTCATAGATCCACACAGATCAAAATTCAACTGATTATTATTCTCTCCCTGACTCCGTCTATTAGGATGATGCTGCAACAGTTCTTCCATATTACCTTCTCTTCTGTCAAAGCAACAGTTACAATTTCTACAGTCTCTGTAGGAGAGGCTTTTGGAATGACCTCTCATGAATCTTTTGAAGGCTGTCCATAAAGACCACTGGAGGACTTGCCCTCTGGCAACATCTTGGCATGATGTTGGTACTCAAGCATGATGCAGGCTGTCCACAGGTTATCCTTCACTCTTGCTGCATAACTTCTAGGGATACCTCTTGGACCAGCGCTTTAGTCTGTGATCACCCTGGATTTCTCCATAGCTCTCCAGGGGACTCACAATTTCAATTCTTAAGATATTGTGACAGTCTGTATTTTGTATAGCATCATGAGAAGAAGAGCAATGTTAAAGAAGTTAGGGCTTGATTTGAAGGAGAACTTTTATTCATATAGATTTTGAAAGTCAATTCCATTTCTACTCTGGAGGCAATTGGAAAAACATATTCATATACACAACACTAGGCTGGGGACACAAATGCTCAAATTAACAGGCCCAACCCTCCAGGAGCTAACAGTATCAGAGGAACTAATATATCTATATATGGTGGTCTTGTCTCTAGCCCAAATTATCTGTGTGACCCTGTAAAAGTCACTATACCTCTCAATGCTATAGGCAAAACCACTAAGACAAAATTGCAATGATAGATTTTCATCTCCTGGCCTTATTCCAGTGAAATCATAGATTTCGTTCCTATTTCTATCTTGCATGGACCTAATTACAGAAAGGGGACAAGATTTAGAGCAACAAGGTGTGGGTTGGAACTCTAGCTGTGAGTCCCCAGAAGTTCACCTACCTTCAAGCATCCCCACCTCATTTTCCCATTTTCTATGTCAAGTGGGCTCCTGATCATGCTGGACAGCGACTCCCACATGCAGCATGACCAGTACCTCACCCAGCACTTCTAGGATGACAAGACTAAGAGAAGTTATTGAAGAAATGCTGCACCTTGTATGTTGGGAACCTCTCCTTTTTACACAGCTGAGGAACAGGGTCTATAAATTTTTTGGCAAGAGTGGTGACATGGAAGAAATTATCATGGGCGTGGATAAAGTACAGAAAACAGCATGTGGATTCTGGTCTGTTGAACTCTCTGCAGAACAGATGCCAAAAAGCCATGAAGTACTTAAATGGAACTCACTGGGAGAATGGAATCATCTGCATAGATGAAAATACAGGTTCCTAAGAGGGCAGACAGGACAGACAGTCAAGATCCAAGGCCCAGTGTAAGAAGAGGATTGAAAAGATTATGATGCTGGGAGAGGAAGCTATGGAGAAACAGGCAAAATCAATGAGTGATGAAAGCTCATCATTTAAAAAAGAAAATTTGGGTTCTTGACAGATCCTGCAAAGAGCAGCAATGATGTCTTGAGAATGGTTTGTTTATAACAGGCTCTCATTTATTTCTGTGCCTCTGTGTGAGAATTCACACAGCTTCAGCTGATCAGTAACTCCGGCCATCCTGTTAGAGGTCTGTGGCATAGGATAATTGGGAATGAAAGCTTTCACCCGTGAACTCCTTTTGTATGTTAAATGATGCAAAGTAATTAGTTGTAGAATTAATAAGAAGAACTGAGCTCTGCTCCACACAAGTGTGATTTTGAATTAGGGGAAAATGGAGAATTAACTATATCTCTCATGCACTATTTCATTAGGTGGTTGCCAGAATTTGCCGGATGGCTGATTTTCCAAAACAGATATGATGAGGTCTTAAAGGTGCTCACAAAAGTTGCAAAGATCAATGGAGTAAAGGAGACGACCCTGACTATAGAGGTGAGAGGGGAAGGAGGAGCCATGGCTGGGATATGGGAAATGGTGGCTTTTCAGGCCAAGCCCAGTAGCCAGGGGCCTACCAAGAGAAAAGTCCCATCTCTGATGATGTTTCTCCAAATCTCAGTGGTCCAGGGAACAGTAAGGGATTGGGGTGGATACTTTAATCCACAGTGGACAAGAATACGGATCTAGTGATTGAGGGTCATCTCAGGCCATAGTGAACTTGCCTTTTGAAGATATCAATCCTGGGGTTCCCTAGCTGTGTCAGATAGGGAAACAGGACTGAGGGAAGAGGTGCTGGGACTATGGGAAGGAGTAAGGGTCCCCTGTGGAGGAGGGGGAGGGGGAGTCTCTCTCCTCTCTGGTTTCAGAGGGTCCCTGCAGCCCTCTGCCCCCTCCCCTCCTGTCTCAAACTCCATTCCCTGCATTCCTTCCTGTGGGCTGTTTCTGTTTTTTTATCCTCATTTCTTTCTTTTCTCAGTGGTTTAACTCTAGCCGTGCCATTCCATAAGGAGACAATGTAAAATGGTCAACGAGACAATTAAGTAACAAAGGTTAAATGAGATCATACATGTAAAGCACCTAGCACAGTGATTGCCACATAGTGATATTAAGTGCATATTCTCTGTCTCTCTCTGGCCCCATAGCAGCCTTAACTGTGGCCAAGGATACCAAAGGTCACCCACTCAAACATGGCAAATTTAGAAAAAGAGTCTTAATGAAATTTGTATGAAATGAGTTTAATGATTTGTGCTCTGGTAACCTACAGGAGCACAAGGCAGGTACTGAAGCCAGCTCCTGAAGGCTTACCCAGCAACTGTAAGAAAAGTGCCCTCTGTCCAAATGAAATCCTCAGCCTCCTGTTCTGCTGCAAGGAGGAGAGGAAAATGCAACAGAAGCATGGTGTTCTCTCTGTGGAGATACATCCTCTCAAAATTATAGCTCATGAGCCCCCACTAATATGGTTGCCTTTATTGTTCAGAACACAAAGAACACAAGCCAAAGCAAAGGAATTTAAGGAAACAGCATAAAAAGAAAGTCTAGATATTTTCCCTGTAAAACTGGAGAACACTTTCAACAATTATACTATACAGCATCAACATGTAGAGTGGACATGTGTAGGGAACATAATACAATACAAAATCCCCACATAGGAGGTCTATAGGTCACTTAGTCTGACCCCCTCATTCCATGGATGAGGAAAGTGAGGTCCAGAGAGGTTTTCAGTGACTTGCACAAGTTCACACCATATTAGTGGAGGGATCTCAACCCAGATATTCTGGCTCCAGAGTCAGCATTCTCTTTGCTCTACTGCATGTGCATGGAGAGGAACCCAAAGAGGGAATGTGTGAGATCAGGACATGTTCAGGGACCAGCAAATGATAGAGTTGAAGCTGGAAGGGACTTCAGAGGCTTTCTAATTCAACCCCCTCATTTTACAAATGAGAAAACTCAGGCACAGGGAGGTGAAGAGACCTGCTTATTCTATATCAGGAGTATCAATGGCAAGATTTGAAGCCAGGGCTTTTGACTCCAGAGCCAGTGCTAATGCTGATAATTTCCCTTCTGTTGATTGTTACCTTATATGATGCATATATGTTAGAGTTGGCTTAGTTCTGAAAAACATTTAGCCATCTGATTCAGATAGTACCTATGATGTATTTTCATTAAAGTTTTCTCAAAATGTATTGATGTTGCATGGAGTGCTATGTTTATTTCTAAGCTGGATGTCAGTAGTTCCATGGAGGAGCACCCACAGAGGATATATTGGACCAAGGTGTGCACCCCTCATGCTGTAGTGACAGACAGGGGCACAGCCTATTGTCTCTACTGATCTTCATGACCTGAGGGTTCTCAAAGCTAATCTTCCGGTGCCATGGTCACAGACATAGTTCCACTGGGCATGGTGTTATACAGCTTGTCATTAGGGAAAAGAAAGGTTTAATAAGGCTTTGAGGTCATAGCCAATGAGTTCTCATTTGGTCCCAATCTATGCCTAGAATCTATTACCCACCCAATTCTTCCTGCTTCTTCCTTCTGTTCATCCATACTCTAACCTTCAGACTGACTCTGTGCTTGGCTCTTCTCCCTAAAGGTTTTGAGATCAACCATGAAGATAGAGGTGCCTCCAGCAGAGACCCATTACACCATGTCGGATTTGGTCCACTTACCCATCCTGCGTACAAGAATGCTCTGTTTGTCCTTTGTAGGGTAGGTTCCCCATAATGTATGAGAAATGTGAAAGCCTCCAGACACCCCCACAATGTCTCAGGTAGACATAGTAACTAGGTAGGAGAAAGGAAGAGGCCCAGTTCAAATCTTTTATCTGTCATTCACATAATTGTAGAACCTTAGAGTTGGAAACACCTTTGAAAGCCATCTAATTCAAACTTAATATTAAAAATTCACTCACTGGTATTTCCTCACATTAGCCGAACTAAAAGTTATCCAGCTTCTGACTGAAAACCTCTAATGGGAGGGAGTCCACTATCTCTTGGGGGTGATTCATTCTACTTTCAGACAGCTCATATTACTATGAGGTTTTTCTTTTTGTTGTTGTTTCCTTGTTTCAGTCATGTCCAACTCAGTGACCCTATTTGGGGTTTTCTTGGCAAAGATACTGGAGAGGCTTGCCATTTCCTTCTCCAGCTCCTTTTACAAATGAGAAAACTGAGGCCAACAGGGTAAAGTGATTTGCCCAAGGTCACATATCCCATAAGTGTCTGAGGCCAGATTTGAACTCAGGTCTTCCTAACTCTAGACCTGGTGCTCTATACAGAGCAGAGTGAGCTGCAACATTTATTTAGATAATTGAAGGTTCTTATCACTGTACTATCTTGCTCCAATGCACCAGGTTTGTGACTAATTTGCCAAACTCCTCATCCCATTTTTCCCTCTGCCCAAGTGGTGTTTAGTAAAATGCTGCAATAATATCAGTTGTGCTGTTCTCTACTTTGATTCTCATCCAAATGGTGGTAATCCTCCCCACCCCGATTCCTGAATTCTATGACTATTATAAAAAGACTCTGAAATCTTTGATTAAGTCATAGTACTCGCCTACTGTGTTTTGTGAACAACATTGTCACTTTAATTTGGGTTCTTAGCTGATAGTTATTTGTGGCTAAAAGATAAGGGAATTAATAAAATTAGTTAAATTTCTAAATATACATTTAAGGTTAGTTAATGCTCCTAACATCTGCCTTGTCCATACATCCCCATAAGAGCTTAGGCTGCTACCCCACAAGTGACTTTACCCTGCACTTCTGGTGCATTTAGAGCTCTCCATAATCTGGCTCCAGGTTACATTTGCAGACCTGTCATTATTGCCCTTCAGGATCTTTGCATTACAACCACAAATGACTCCATGTTTGCTGAACTAGGGAGTCCACCTCCCAGTCTCTGTCTTTGTATGTGAGGTTCCTCATCACTGGAACTCACCCTCTCCTCAGCTTTGCCTTCTGGAATCCTTGGCTGCCTTCAAGGCTCAGCCCTGGGCATCAGCTCCTACTGAAGCCTCTTCTGGTCACCCCACTTGGTGATCCTCTTGGTCTCCTGAATTTATCTGGCATTGACTTAACTGTACTCAAGGAGCATTGCCACCCTCAGCAGAATATGAACCCCTTGTGGGTTGGTGTCTCTAGCACCTAGCACAGACCCTGGCATCCAACAGGTGTTTAATCATGGCTTGTTGGACTGAACTGCATTTAATGGTGAGCTCTGGCCTCCAAATGTGATGGATTTTCTCTGCTTTCCCCACTGCCTGCTGCAGCTTCACAACAAGCCTGATTTTTTATGGGCTTTCTCTGGATCTTCATAACTTGGGGAGCAATATTCAAACACTCCAGGTTCTATTGGGAGCTTCTGCCTTCCTAAGCAGGTCTGGGGCCTTGTTCATCATGAACCTCTGTGGCTGTCGAACAATAGCAGTGGCCTGCCTCCTCCTTGCTGAACTGTTCATACCTGCCCGTGCATTCCTGCCTCAAGGTAAGAGAGTGGGCTTTGAGGAAAGGGGGAAATGGGGAGTAGGTGAATGTACAATTAGAGGCAGCTCAGTGGCCCAATGGATAGAGCAGAGGCAGCTAGGTGGTCCAGTAGGTAGGGCACTGTGCCTGGAGTCAGGATAACCTGAGTTCAAATCCAGAATCAGATTCTTCCCAGCTGGGTGAACCTGGGCATATTACTTAACCTCTGCCTGCCTCCATTTCCTCCTCTTTAAATAGGGATAATAATAGCACTTACCTCTTGGGGTTCTTGTCAGATAATATTTGTAAATGCTTATCCCAGTGCACAGCATATAGTAGGCTCTATATAAATATTATGTATGTTATCATCATCATCACCATCATCAGTATCATCTTTGAGGAGAAGCTCCTTGCCCACCCCCCAGGCTGGCTTGGTTGTAGCCTTGCTGGGTTGAGCATATGTCCCCCTCCCCCTCCTGCTTTGCAGCATAGGGCACTGAAATGAATCTGGGACTTGGGGTCTTGATTCTGCCAAGGGACATTAGGGGTAAAGGATGTACTCTGGTGCCCTTTGTTACACCCTGTAACTTAGAGCACCAAGCTCTTGGGGCAGGAATGAATGGTCATTACAGGCTCCTTGAGTGCTGGGACCCTAGAGGCAAAGTAGATGGAGATCTGCTCTCAAAGCTGATCAGTTCCTCCCATTTACATTGCATGTCCCTTGTATATACATAGTTGTTTCCTTGTCCTGTCTCCTATTAGAACACGAACTCCTTATGGGCCAGGGCCATGCTCTTGCCTTTCTTTGTATCCCCAGGGCTTAGCACAGTGTTGGAGATAGAGTAAATGCCTCACACATACAGTCTGTGTGACCCTGGGCAAGTCATTGAACTCCTCAGTGCTCTAGACCACTTTCAGACTATAAATTGCAGAGAGAAGGCCAATCTGAGTTGGTAAGTTGAGTTTCTTTACCTGGGCATTCCCTATAGATCAGGTAAGGATAAAATCATAGGGCCAGTCCCTAGGCCTATTGACTGTTAAGACCAGAAGGACCTTTTGAGAGAGACCCCTGAGTGACAGGATCATACATCTAGAGCTAGAGGAGACCTCAGAGGTCATCTGATCCAAATCCCATTTTTACAGATGAGGAAACTGAGGCCCAGGAAATTGAAATGACTTATTTAAAGTCCCGCAAGTAGTGAACCTCAGAGGTGGGATTTGACCTCAGGTCTTCTGGCCCCAAAGGCATCATTCTTTTCACTATGTCATGGCACCTGCTCAACTTTCTCATTTTGAAGAAGAGGAAATAGGCTGAGAGAGGAGTACCAATTTGCCCAGAGTTGCAGAGTGAATAAATGACAGAGCCAGGACTCAAACTCAGGCCAAGATGGATGAGTAGGAAAATAGGAATGAGAGATAGATGGATAGATGGATAGATAGATACATAGATATATAGGTAGATGGATAGATGGATGGATAGATAGATAGATACATACATACATACATACATACAAACATACATAGATACATAGATAGATGGATAGATAGATGGAAGATGGATAGGTAGAAAGATGGATGGATGGATAGATAGATAGGTGGATGGATGGATGGAAAGATAGTTACCTGGATAAATGGATGGATATGTGGATGGATGGATAGATAGAGAGATAAATAGATGGATAGATTAAGAGAAGGGTGGATAGAGAGAGCAATTGAATGGAAAAATAATGAGTAAATAGCTACCCTATGACTTGGATTTATGTTTACTGAGTTTCTTAAAGGTAGGGCTCTACTTGAATTCATCTTTATATTACACCCTAAGCACTTAGCATAGAGCCTTACACATGGTAAGGGCATAGTAAATATTTATTGTTTGCTATATGAAACAAACAAATAATAGTTACCATTTATAGAGTACGATAAGGTTTGCAAATTGCTTTGCATGTATTATCTCATTTGTTCCTCACAACAACCCTGGGAGGAAGATGCCAAGATAGACATAAAATGGGGATTTTACAGATGAGAAAATTTGGGGTGAGACAGATTGAATGACTTGCTTGGAGTCATCCAGCTAGTAAGTATGTAAAGTAAGACTTGAACACAGGTCTTCCTGACTCTAGGCCTAGCATCTATCCCTGTACCACCCAGCTGCCTCTAATAATAAATATTATTTAGTAAATGGATGAATGGGTCAGTTGATGAAAGAAATGAATGGATAAATGAATAAATTGAAGAATGAATGGGTGGATGGATAAGTGAGTGGATAGGCCAAAAGAATTAATGAATGTATGAATCAATAAATCAGTGCTCCAAGATGTGTTGAACTCTGGTTTATTGAGGGCTTCCTTTGTCTTTTGGTTATAGAAATTTTGCGTGTGGTTTTGGCAATGCTGGCAATTAGTTCTATTGTGGTCTGCACTTCCTGCAATGTTGTCTATTCCACTGAGCTCTATTGCTGAACAGTCGTCAGGTAGGAAAGAGCATCTGGAGATGAAGAAGCAGCCACTACTGTTTCTAGGAGAAGTGGGAAGGAGGAGAGACTCAGTAAAGCAGATCCCCCAGCAGACCTGTCAGGGAAATTGTCTCTGTCTGGTGTTCTCCCTGACATAACCTACGACAATGCTGTCCATGCTATTCTTCCAAGGATTTCCATTCACTCTCCTTATCAGACTGTGGAAAGGGGAGTCAGAATAGTCCAGTATCACCATCGTCACCTCCAGGCTCTCCCTGTGCCTCTTTCACTCAGTAACCTTTTCTCCTTTGGAGTCCATACAATGAACATTTTCTACTCATTAAAAAGATTCTTGGTGACTTGGTGAGAAGGGGGAATAATGGTTACAAAGGGCCACAATAGTGGAGTCATCAAAAACAAGGCATGGCAGACTAACCTCATAGGCTTTCCTTTTTGGACAGGATTCATTGAAGTAATAGATAAGGGGAATTCTGTAGAAAGAGTTTGTGTCAAGTTTTCTGGGTTTTTGTTTTTGGTGGAGGTGGGGGGAGACAATTGGGGTTAAGTGACTTGCCCAGGGTCACGCAGATAGTAAGTATCTGAGGCCAGATTTGAGCTCAGGTCTTCCTGATTTCAGGGCTACTGTTCTATCCACTGTGCCATCCATATCTCAATTTTTAAAAAAGTTCTTGATAAAGTGTCTCATACTGTTCCTGAGGAGAAGATGGAGAAACATGGATTAGATCAGACAGATTCAGAACTGGTCATATGGCCAGACTTCAAGGGTAGTTTTTAATTATTCATTGTCAATGTAGCAGAAGGTCTCCAGTGGAGTGCCTTAGGGATCTGTTCTTGGCCCTGTTCTCTTTACCCTTTATGTCAATCACTTCGATAAAGGCATAGATAGCCTGGTCATCAAATCTACCAATGACCAAAAACTGGGAGGCATCTCTAATGTACTGGATGAGAGAGTCAGGATCCAAAAGGACTTTGAGAGGCAAGAACATTGGGCTGACTCTAAGAAAATGAAATGCAATAAAGATAGATGTAAGCCAAAAAGATCCACTGTACATTGCTTCCAGGGACAAAGAGGTGATAGTCCCTCTGTCCCCTGCCCTTGGCACACCTCATCTGGGCACCACAGATGTTGATGACCTGACAGGTATCCAGAAGAGGACAAGCAGGATGGTGAAGGGCCATGAGCTTAAGACCCAAGGAATTTGACTTGTTTAGTCTTAAGAAAAGCAGATTCAAGAGGAAGAAGAGTCCTGATTTTTAGTATCTGAAGGGTTGTCTTCTGGAAGACAGAGTAGGCTTGTTGGGTTTGGCCCTAACCAAGATCAGAGCCAGGAGTGATGATGGATGTTCACAGGCACGTTTAGCCTGGATGTCAGGGAAAGCTTCCTAAGGATTCCACTTGTCCCCATCTGGGCTGGTGATGGGTCCCCTCAAGAGGTGGCGAGGTCCTCCTCCTTGGAGGCCTCCAAAGGGATGCTGGACAACCACTTGTTGGGTGTATCATAGGGGAGATTCATACGTAAGTTGGATTAGATGACCATCGAGGTCCTGTCCAACTCTCAGATTCTGTCATTCAATAAGTCATGCCAGAGTTCAAGTATTCAAACCCAAGTCTTTCTGACTCCAGGTTCTATCCTCTATGTTAGACTCATTCTGATAAAGGAAGGAACTAAGAAGGCAGGGAGAGAAGAAGGTAGGAAGGAAAGAAAGAAGGAATAGAGAGAAAAAGACAAAAATACAGTGAGGAAAAGAAGAAGGAAGGGAAATGGGAAGGAGGAAAACAAGAAAGGTTTTCATTATGAACTCTGAAAATGAAGACAAAGTTAATCCTGTTTTAAAATTTAGTGATAAATTTTCTTTTGTTATTCTGTCTTCAGTTCTGTCCAACTTTTTGTGACCCCATGGACCTAGAATATCAGGCCTTCTATCCTCCACCATCTCTCAAAGTCTGTCCAAGTTCATGTTCATTGTTTCCATGGCAGTCGATTAACTCCATCCTCTGCCATCCTCTTTTCCTTTTTCTTTCAATCTTTCCCAATATCCCAACATTAAGGTCTTTTCCAGTGAGTCCTTCTTCACATTATGTGGTCGAAGTATTTAAGCTTCAACTTCATGTTTGACCTTCCAGTGAACAGTCTGAATTACTTTCTCTAAATATTAACTGATTTGATCTCCTTGCTGTCCAAGGGACTCTCAAAAATCTTCTTCAGCACTACAATTCAAAAGTGGAGATTCTTCAACATTCAGCTCACATGCATAAATTGCTGCTGGAAAAACCATAGCTTTGAGTATATGGACCTTTGTCAGCAAGGTGATGTCTCTGATTTTTGGTATTCTGTCCAGGTTTGCCAGGGCTTTCCTTCCAAGGAGCAAGTGTCTTTAAATTTCATGACTGCAGTCACCATTTACAATGAACTTTGAACTCAGGAATAGAAAATCAGACACTGCTTCCATTTCCTCTCCCTCACTTTGCCAGGAAGTGATGGAACCAGATGCAAGATATTTTGTTTTTACATTACCTAAATTTTTCCCATTATTCCTCCCCACCCCCCACCCCACCTTAAGAGCTATTCTGGGCAAAGAATATTTTAACAGGAAAAAGAAAAGAGGAAGAAGAGAAGAAAATGGGTAACACTGATCAATACATTGAAAAAGTGTGAGAATATCAGTAATATTTCATGCCCATGGACCTCTCACCTGTTTAAAGGGCTAGGGGGAAAAAGAAGTGTGTCTCATCATGACTCTTTCTGTGTCAATCTTTCCATTTTCTCATTGTCTTCACTGCGTATTTTTTTTTTTTTAGCTTTTCCAAGAAATAGATGAGCCACTAGTCTGTATCGTCAAGGAGCTTACACTCTACCAGGAGGAGACATAGGAGAGAATGGTGGCACCCATCCCAGGGTGCTAGCAATGGAGGAGTTTCATCCTTACTAGTGAGGAAAGAGCTTAATCCTTTAACCATTCATGTGCAGATACAAGAGCAAAAAAGGAAAAATTAAGCTATTTGGGGCAAGATCAGCCTAACATATCTGCTTACTTGTGGACAAGATCATTTGGAGGTAGAGCAGCAGTTTCTTTTCAAATGTATAAATTCCGTGAGTCCCTGAGCTTCCTGCAGTATTCAAGAACTGCAGTCCTCCAGAAATTATTCCCACACACTATAACGTCTACTTACAGGAGGTTAAAGGAAGGGGCTATTTAACAGGTGTTGAGTCTAGGACAATCAGATCTCCTTTGTTCTGACAGGGGCAGGTGCAAGGGCCTCAATCTCATGGTAGGTCGGATTGGGGCAGTTCTGGCCCCATTGGTGAATACGCTCAAGCACTACCTTCCAGCACTGCCACCGATCATCTTTGCAGCCATGGCCATCACTGCCGGCCTTGTGGTCTTCTTCCTCCCAGAAACCCAAAATAAACCAACGTCTGACACCATCGAAGATCTAGAATATGGGTGAGTATTGTCTGCGGCATCTTGGGAAGGTCACTTACCTTGTCTGAGCTTCATCTTCCTCATCTGTAAAAAAGAGACAGTTGGACTAGAAGAATAAATGAATGTATTCCTTAAATAGTTACTGTTTGTCATGCTTTATGCTAAGCATTTGGGAAATAAATATGTAAACAAAGAGTCCTTACCCTGAAGGAGCTTAAATTCTACTAGAGGAAGAAAGTATACATGAGAGAATCATGGGCCTGGATGAAATGTTTGGGTCTGGAGAGTCACAGAGAGGATGAGTGGAGCCATGGGGGAGTTGATTGACAGGTCTTTCCAGGAACAATGACAGCATTATTTTCAGTAACTTTCAATAGTTACAAAGAGGTTGTATATGTGTGCCGGGGGGTGGGTAATCGGGTGGGGGAACATAGCTTATGACATTGAACTTATAGTTTTGCTGAAGGTCAGTCCTATCCTGCCTAAGAATTCTGTCTGTCCTTCTAAGAGGTGATGAAAGGAGTGTGTGTCACTTGTATAGATGGTAAGCTCCTTGGGGTAGTGACTGTTCTGACTTTATGTTTCTATCCTCAGTACCCAATACACTACTATAATACCTTCACACAATAAGAGCTTAACAAATCTATCATTCTTTCTATTCTCATTGAGGGGGTAGAAGGAGTATGGGATGCCTATGAAAGACAAAGAAGGAGTGGTCAGAGAGGTAGGAGGAAAACAAGAAGAAACCAGAGTCTGGGAAGCCAAAGGAGTTTATAGAGAAAAGAATAGAGAGGGCCCTTCTAAGTTTCCTGATTTTAAGGGATCAGGAAGAGGATGAAGAGTCAGTGAAGGAAACAGAGTGCTCAGAGGTCCCATGGTGCTGTGGAAAGGCTTTCAACTTGAACTACAAGTGCCTCCATGTCCTCATTGGCCAGTTTATAACCGTGGGACCTAGGACATTAGGACCATGCAGGGGCTGGATCTGAGGTCCCTAATAGCTCTGACATTCCATACTAGAGGTCACCAAATCTAATCCCCTCTTCTACAGTTGAGGAAGCAAATTGGGGCAGGGCCTTCCCAAAACCATACTGATTTTAAGTAGCAAAGTTGAGATGCATTCCCAGGTACTGGACTGTCCTGTAGAATTTAAGCTTCTCAAGGGCTTGGAATGTTCCATATTATCATACATTATGGAGCCGAGTGGGATCTCTGAGAGACTAATCCCCTCATTTTGCAGATGAGAAAATAAAACAAGTTGGCCACAGTCACATAGATAAAAAAGAGTTAGAGGCAGGGGCTCTTTCCAGAGCACACCATTGTTTTGTGTATCTCCAGTGACCAACATTAAGAGATGCCTAATAAATACTTCTTCAATTGGATTGAATTTTGAGATGAAAACCTTTTTTTTTTTAAACAAAGGCATTTTCACGAGGTGGCGCCCAAAGACATAGACTCATTGTATCCAATAGTCATCAAGGGCTTCCTAGCTATCTCAGACAAGTTTCCTCCCCCTAAGTTAGATGAGGTAATATTTGTAAAAGCATTTGGCATGGTGCCTGGCTGATAGCAGGAATAAATGCTTATTCACTTCCCTTTCCTCTATTGCACACCCTCACATTTGTTTCTTGTTTCCATTCTTTCATGGAAGACATTCAAGGGAAGGAGCAAGACCTAGAGATGAAGGGGATGCTGCAGTGAAAATAAATCAGTTTTAACATTGCTCCAGGAGTCTGACTGAGAAGAAAAGGACTCTAGTCTGACCTGGGGGTTCCCCTTCTCCTGGGGGGAGGCCATGCACCCAGCATCTAGAGCACCAGTGCTCCTGCTTGGACTCCAGGTTTCCAGGAGGTTTCAATAGTATGAATCAATCAACCAGCATTAATTAAACACTTACTAAGTGTTAGGCACTGGAGATACAAAGACAAAAACACAGCAAGCTTTGCTCTCCAGGAGCTCACATTCTGTCTGGGGAGACAACGCAGACCCAGATAAATGAACACAAAATGTAATTAAAATAAAGAGTCCCAGAGAACATTTCACAGAGAACCTGTGCCCATTTTCCTGAAGCTGCCCTGACTCCAAAGCTTACTTCTCATGCTTCCCCTCCTCACACCTCTGTTCCAGCCAAACTTGTCTTCCGACCTCCCAATCACATGCCTTGGCACAGGCTGTGCCCCTATACCCAGGTTCTTTTACCAACTTGCCTTTCCCTCTGACAATTCTTTGGTACCAATTCCAATGAAAAATCATTCCTCATTCTCCTAGTCATTAGTGATGTTTCCATCCCCAAATTCCCTGCTATGTTCATTCCTTTATACGCACTACAGATGCCACTTGCCCTATAGAATGTAAACTCTTGAAAGGGAGGGGCTGTTTTTGTTGTTTCCTTTTTGTGTCCTCAGCACCCAGAATGGTGCCCTGTCTTGTAGGGTCTTAATACATGTTGATTGAACTGAATCAAATTGAATTATTCAAAGTCAATATGAAGGGAGGTCAGTAAAATCTGGCAGTTGGCATAAAACCAGGTGGAATTCACGATGTAAAACCTCAGGTTTTTGTATATTCATGTACAGGGCAATGAGACTCTTACCTATAGCAGAATTACCTGTGAACAAGAAAGGAAAAAGCCAGATGGCTCATTCTCCAATTGATAGATGGCCAAAGGATATGAATAGGCAGTTTTCTTTTTTTAATATTTTTTTCAAATTAAATGTAAAACAATTTTTCACATTCATTTAAAAAATTTTAGTTCTAAATTCTCTCTTCTCCTCCTCTTCCCTCCTCCCTGAGACAGTAAGCAATTTGATATCAGTTATACATGTGTGATCATGCAAAACATCTTTCCATAATAGCCATGTTGTGAAAGAAGACAGAGACCCAGAAAGAAAAAAACAGTAACAAGAAAGTGAAAAACAGCCTGCTTTGACCTGCATTCAGACTCCATCAGTTATTTCTCTGGAGCTGGATAGCATTTTTCATTATAAGTTCTTTGGAATTGGCTTTAATCATTGTACGGCTGAGAATACAGCTAAATTGTCCACATTCTACCATATTGCTATTACTTTGTTCAATGTTCTCCCAGTTCTTCTCACTACACTTTGCATCAGTTCTTATGTGTCTTCCAAGATTTTTTCTGAAACTATCCCTCTGGTTATTTCTTATAGCACAACAGTATTTCATCACAATTGTATACCACAACTTGTTCAGTCATTCCCCAGTCGATGGACATCTCCTCAATTTGTAGTTCTTTGCTCTCACAAAAAGAGCTGCTATAAATATTGTTGTACATGTGGGTCCTTTTCCTTTTCCTTTGATCTTTTTGGGATGAAGATCTAGTTAGTGATATTGCTAGGTCAAAGAGTATGCCCTTTGGGCATGGTTCTAAATTGTTCTCCAGAATGGCTGGACCAGTTCAAAACTCCATCATCAATGCATTAGCACCCCTATATTTCCACATCCCCTCCATCATTTGTCATTTTCCTTTTCTGTCACACTAATCAATCTGAAGTGTGAGGTGCTGCCTCAGAATTGTCTTCATTTGCATTTGTCTAATCACTAGTGATTTAGAGCATTTTTTTCATCTGACTATTGATAGCTTTGATTTCTTCTGAAAACTGCCTCTTTCCTTTGACCATTTATCAATTGAGAATGCAGGGATTAATTTAAGGGTGAAGAGAACCTATGCAAACAGGGTTTCCTTAAAATAACTTAAGCAAAAATAACTTAAGAAACAATATCTTTAAAGAGGATGAACTTTTTAAAAATCACAATTCAGAAAAAGAAAGTCATATTAGAGACAAGGATAAAAATATTAACCTAACTCTTTACATATGAATTGATTAAATAATCCCATAAAACAAAAGAGATACAAATTGAATAAGAAGACAAAACCCCAAAATCTCTTATCAGTTTTGTTAAGAGTTTTTTCCCTTCTTCATTCTTTTTTTTCTTTAAAAAAAAAACAGTCTTTGTTACATGGAGTGACTCCTGGTGAAAGGAGAGGGGTAGTAGAAGAAATTAGTCAAGGTAACAACAAATTATATCAATAAAAATTTTGAAAGAAAAAAAAGAGCTACTATAAATATTTTTGTCCAAATAGGTCCTTCCCCCCACTTTTAATCTCTTTGGGATACAGACCTGGTAATGGTATTGCTGGATCAAAGGGTAGGCACAGTTTTATAGTCCTTTGGGCATAGCTCTAGGTTGCTCTCCAGAATGATTGGTTCTGTTCACAACTTCACCAACAGTGTGCAACAGTGTCCCAAGTTTTGAGTATGCCCTCCAACATCTGTCATTTTCCTTTTCTGTCGTATTAGCCCACGTGATAGATATGGGGTGGTACCTCACAATTGTTTTAATTTGCATTTCTCTAATCAATAGTGATTTAGAGTATTTTTTCATATGACCAAAGACAGCTTTGATTTCTTCAAAAGGCAATTGGTCTTTGAAAGACCAAGACCTAATGATATCAAATGAGCCAAGGAGGAGATATTAAACGAATTGTAGATTCAGCCACTCCTTTCTGAGGTACAGTCAAGATCATTGACTGAATGAGAAGTCCCAGAGTCAGTGAATTCCAGTGAGCCCAGGCAGAAACCATTGACCCTAAGGGCACCTCAGAGAGGGAGACCCAGGCTGAGGAAGTCCCAAGGAAAGGAGAACTCTTTCCATAACTGCCCCTCAAGGTGCCTGTCTATTCACAGACATCATAACATGGCAAAAATCATGTAACATAGAAAAAGAGTTCAGCAAAGCTGACAAAATGATCAGGTCTCATACCCTAAGCAACATTCTGACCCCAAAGGTTCCCCTGCCCCCCATATCTCTATAGAAAGCAAGAAATTGGGATCTAGTTGTCTGGGACCAAGGTTAGCTTTTGGAGTTCATCTGACTTTGTCTGTCTTCTAGTATTATTGTCATTTATATTCCTGACTTTATTTTATGTATTGTTGACCTAGTCCTGCTCATTTCATTGTGCATTTGGTTACTACAGATTTTCTCATTTCCTCTGAATTCCTCAC